TCTAGGTAGGAGTCAATGCTTGCGGCGTCTTCAGCCATGTCTGGAGCCAGTTCTCACATCAGAAGAGAGACGTGGCAGTATTTTTAGAAGACTTACCCACTCTACTTTAAATAGAGATTTACTTATCTAGTCAAAGTTTATTTTTGCAGCCCCATTTGAACCCCATAGGACGGTGCTTTAGGTCCGTTCTATTTCTGTCCAAGCCATCGGGCTGCTGAAAACCCTACAGCAAACCGAGTCTGGGTCCCGCAGCCTCCGTGGGGAACCTCCTTTTTCCTCTGTCGAATCTAAGAGAAAACGGGACCCTCTTGAATGGAATGGACTGTATCTCACCCAACTCCAGACCCAACAGAGCCAGTTCAAAAAGCCCCAGTAAATTGCCACCACCCTCATTTTCCGGGGGAGTTACCACCCCTCTTTGCATATACTTTGCTATTCTTTGCCACTAGGTCTGCTGCCTTTGATCAAAAATTTGGTGTCATATTTTATCTTTTTTGATGTAGGGGCTCACATATCAGGCTGGCCTTGACCTTGCTATGTGATAGATAGAGGGTGGTCTTGAACTTAGGAGCCTCCCGCTCCTACCTGCGGAGTATAGATGTATACCACCACTCCTGGTAATGTGGCATGGGAGCTTGGCATTCCTGTCCAGGTCTCACCTTTTAAACTGAAAGCATTCTCACCAATTCAAAGAACACCCTGCCTTTCTTAGCGATCCGGCTACCTCCAGCGTACCCTGGATGTCTGAAAATACTGAGAGGAAGGAAAGGGCTTGGGACGCCTGAGTTAGGGAGGTAGGCCCAAGGCAGAGGACAAAGGTTCAGGCTGGGCCTTGCAGAGGCTCTTGGGGGAAGAGAGGAAACCCAGGCAGGCCTCTGATACTGATGTAGTCCCCTCCTCCCACCTCAAAGAGACTGGGTTGCGGCTCTGATGGCCGGAAGTGCCGGGGCTCAGGAGCTGCTGCTCCAGAGCTCAGTCTGCATGCTGCCGGGCTGGGATATTTATAGCACGGGCCTTTCTGATTCTGTCTCTACCTGGATATATGCGGCCTGTGGCTGCCGCACGTGTGGGGACTACGGGGACACACATCGATTTAAGGGGCTGGTGCTTGGCCTTGGGACGCAGGCTCCGGTGGAAGTTACAAAGTCTAAACAGAGGGCCGGGCAGGGGAAACATCAGACCGCAGCTCCACCGTGCAGGGCAGCTTGTGCAAAGAGCTCGGTGGTTAGGCCTGGTGAAACCCGGGGCTTTCCAACCTGGTGTCCTAGCTGTGGCGGCTGTGGGCGCGGTGAGGCAGGTGTGGGTGGCCAGGGACCTGTCTCAGTTTCCTCCCCGCCCTGGCAGTCAGGGTTGTCTCTGCAGCTACTCAGAAGGGTTAAAGGCCAAATCGACGACAAGGACTTTTCTTTGTAGAAGGAAAAGAGGGTCCCAGAGAGGTCGTTGTGGCAATCTTCTTTTCAGACTCAAAACTACCGACTCCACGTTTGCAGACCTGTTATCGCCATCTGCACCTTCAATTTTCCTTAACCACTACCACCTGTCTGGCTGCTGGCAGACAGCAATGACATCACTTTAAAATATATAAATAACTGACCTCCCTGCCTTCCCAACAGTGATTGCAATTCAGAGGGCAATGCTTAAAAGCAATGAGGACGCCACTACCGAACCTTTAAAGCTAAAAAAAAAAAAAAAAAAAAAAAAAGAGGAGGCTAGAGGGCGTAGTGGCTCACGGCTTGTCTTTCCAGCACTAGGGGAACTGAGGTAGAAGGATGCTCACGAGTTCGAGCCCAGTCCGGGAAAATTTGACAAGTGGAAATAAAAAAAATAAATAAACGAATAAATAAATAAAGTGAGAGCCTAGTCGAGAGCAGGCCCCGCAGGAGTCAGCCGCCTACAGGTCTCTGAGCAAAGCCGGCCTTGACTGTTCCACTGACTGGGAAAGAGGCTGGAAAGAGGCCAGCCCAAGATCTTGTGAGGGAAGTAAAATAAAGAACAGTAGCGATGACCTAGAGCAACGAAAATACAGTTGACACTTGTCCCAGCCTTTCTTTTTCCCACTTAACTTTGTCGCAACCCAGATGAGGTCACCATTGCACAACGGGGAAACTGAGGTTTGGGAACTAGGTTAAGGAACTCGTAGCTTCAGACCCAGATCCCTGTCCCTCGCGTGGGCGCCGTGGCCACCCGGCTTTTCCACGCGGGCCGGGGACAGGTTCTGGCACAGAGGCACAGGTCTTAGGCTGCTGGAAAGGCCGGTTTGGTGGCCCGGGACGAGGGGGCGGCTGGCCGGGGGCAGCTGGCAGTCAGCTGGGGACGGGACCGCGCGCGGCGGGAGGCGAGCAGGCCACATACCGCGCGGCGCAGAGGAAATAGCTGGAATTCCTCCCGCGGCGCCGCGCTCCGGCAGCCCGGGCACGCGCAGCCTGCGGGGAGGGCCAGGGGCGCGCGCCAGAGGTCCGCGTGCTCGTGCCCGGCCCGGCCTCGCGAACTGCTTTCCCATCCCGAGAGCTCTAGCCAGCCACTCCCCGCCAGCATCTGGGTCGTCTGAGCCGGGAGATGGGGAGAGGGAAAAGGGGGCGACACCTGGAGAGAGGCACCGCACGAAGGGGCAGACTCCTCGGGTCAGCCAGGTTTCCTGTTTGTTGGTCTCTGGCTCAAGCCTGAGAGCTGACAGGGAGCCATGGAAGGCCACCTACACAGTGGTACCCCAGCCAGGGAGGAGGCTGCCCTCTGCCCTCCAGCAAAGGGGATTGATTGCTAAGGGACTGGACTTGCACCAGGCAGTGGGCTGCCACAGGTGCCAGCCTTAGTCTTTGGAAAGCTGTGGCCAGTGATGTCACCAAATGTTCTAGGCTCTTTCCCTCTGGGCTTCGAAGTCCTTGAGGCAGCAAGGAGTTCCCTCTTGGGGTGGAAGGGAGGAGGCTGGACCCTTAGAAAACTGTTGTTGCCAGGTGGTGAGGACTGGGAGGTAGAGACAAGGGAGGGCAATGAGAACTTAAAGTAAGTACCGAACCTGGACCCCTCTCTGTACAGAGCCATGGAGGCACGAGAAGGGGATGGAAACTTAGCTGAGAAAGCTCCCCTCTTCTGAACAGAACCAAAGTATGTGAGCAGGTTGGGAGTTAAGAGGTGGGAAGGTGGATGGAGGACCCTGGGTGGGGCCCACACAACTTTTCCTAGGAGCCTGGTACAGGCTCTCCCCACTTTCCATTGGGATTACTGGTTCAATCGATCATAGCATTTGAGCTGGTGAGATGGCTCAGGAGGTAAAGGTGCTTGAGGCCAGGCCTGAGGATCCGAGTTCAAGTCCCTGGACCCCACGTTGTGGAAGTAGAGACCAGCCATACACTCAAAATGCTCATTCGACTCACATCTTCTACCATCTATGAATTCTTCCCTGGTGCCCGTATCTTTCATTCTGTCCGTTTCCGTGGCCTAAATGATTGTTCCTTCCACTCTGGATTGTGAACAAGTGGCTTTCAAGTTTATTTTCCTAGTGAGATATTAGCTCTACAGAGGCAGGGACCCTCTGGATCTCCTTCGGGGACCTACTATCTAGTAGAGCGCTAGCCTTACAACAAAGACTGTTTAAATCAAAGACTGTTGAATGAATGAGAAGGATGAAGAAGAAATTGGCCAGGCTCAACACAAACAACACAGACCAGGGGCAAAACTGGCCAAAGTGGAGCCTGGTCCTGAGGACTAGGACTGTGACTCCCAAGAATGCCGTGAGCTTCCTGCCTTGATTCTGATCTCAGTGTCACCTGACACACACACACGCACACACACACACTCCTGCCCTAGCTCTAGGTTCTGATTTGGACTTACTGATATAGGCCAGTTTTCCTCCTCCCCTTAACTTCCACACTCCCAATACTCCTGGCCTGCTTAGAAGGTTCGGATTTCACACAAACTGGTGTTCTTTGGTCATTCCGCTGTGGCTCCTAAGTGACCTAGTTCAAGACTGGGGACAGAAATGGCTTTTGCTAAACTGTCTACCCCCAGGGCAGGGTGGCTTCAGCCTCAAAGCAGGGTGGACTTGGAGTTTCCCAAACTGACCCACAGTGCCTGAGTGCCAACCTCCCCACCCCCACTGCCTTCCAAGAAGCCAGACAAAGGCCTGGCTGGAGAGGGACTCCCCTCTGAGGAAGTTTTCTGATGAGGCCTGGGAGGAAACAGGAGCTTGAAGCCCGGCCCATCCTAATGCATCTACCCTTAGCTGGGGAGGGAGGTCCTGGGTAAAACATCATTTCCAGAACTGCCCCAGACACTCAGCCTTGAGGAGCAGGCCCAGGAAGCCTTGGCAGATCCTTCAGACATAGCCAGCTCACACCATCGGCAATGGTTCTGGGAAATGGGGCTCTCAAATTCTCCCCTACATTTCTCATAAGAAAAAGGAACAGATTTTGGCATCTTTGCTCCCCAAACAGGAACTGACCAAGACAGTGACCCCTGGTAGTCACTTCCTCATCCAGGGTTCACAAGGGGGTAGACTTCCTCAGCCCTCTGATCTTCCCAGGGATCTGTGGGCATAGGAGCCCCAACAGGGGAGAATGGGGGTGGGGGAGGGCAGGAGGGTGATCTCTGAGGACTGGGAAATCCAGAAACCTGATAGGGCAGAGCTAGGTTGGTGGGTACCTGGCGTCTAAGAGTTACTCAGTGAAGTAGTTATTTTTATCTTGTTATAGAAAGAGCATCACTACTGTGACCTCTTAGGGGTTCATGGTTTCTTGGACCTGGGCCATTTTGGGGTGGGGAGGAGGAAAGGAATGGCCTCAGCTGGAGCAGCCGAGCAAAGCGAGCTCACCGCTGAGAGGTGGGGTGTGAGTGGGGACCAAGGCCTGGCAGGAGGAGCAGTGGACAAGCATCAGAGGGCCCTCTGAGCTGTGAGGAATTCCCCAGGGCCGCCCCAGGAGGCCTTGACTCTTGACCAGTGCTGGCAGGACAAGACAAACCCAGCTCAGAGGAAGGCACGAGGCAATGGGGGAGGAGAGGGGAAGGGCATGCAGCCTGCAGCCTGCAGCCCTGTGATGACGACTCACCCAGACCATTAATGCGGTTTACATTCCTGGCTACTCACGGTGGGCAGCTGGATGGACTGGTCACTGTGAATAGGTCTTTGTTGGTCCACAGGTTTACAGTAAAGCGAGGACATCTGTGTTAATAGGTGAGGTGGACAGAGCCATCGTCTACTGACTACTTCTGTCTGGGCAGGCTAGTGAAGGGTGACTGAGGTGTTGGACAGGTTGAACCACAGATCTGGGCTCTGAGGAAGGTGGCAGTTGAGTTGGGGATGGGAGACCATAGTCAGAGGGGTTGGGGAGGTGCCGGGGGTCTGAGGTTCTGTAGGTCAGCAGGGTGTTCCTTGGACTCCAGTTTTGGGGTACCTTGCTTAACGGAACACTCCTCACACTGATGGGGAGAGGGGCATGGAAGGGGAAGGAGAGGTCCGGGGACTTTAAAGCCTGTTGGTGTCTGAGATGCCACTGAAATGTGGGCACTGAGCAGAGGACAGAGAAGGTTGTGCTGGCCTTGTGTTCAGAAAGCGTTATCTCTCTTCCCAGGCTCTAAGTGTCCAAAGACGGCACACCAGGTATCAAAGTCAGCCAGAAGATCAGGGTCAGAAGCCACGGTGAGTAGGTGGAACCCTCAGGGTGCCGGCAAAGGCTGGGTTTATTGTTTTATTACCTTGCCTTGTTGACTGCCCTGTGACTTCTCTCGGTGTAACTGTGAAATCCACTTCCTGGGAGGTCTTTGCTGGTCTGCCAGCCTCTCTACTTCTCATTTTCTTTGGCTCCTCTGGCTCCTGGGTCACCCATAGAGTAAGCACTTCAACAGTTTCACAATTTGCTAGTGTGTGTGTGTGTGTGTGTGTGTGTGTGTGTGCATGTTCGCTATAACTGTTTGTGTGTGTGCTCCATGTAACTGTATGTGTATCTCTGTGTGTGCACTGTACGAGTGTGTGCGCTGTACCTGTGTGTGTGTGTGTGTGTGTGTGTGTGTGTGTGTGGAGGCCAGGGGCCTACATCAGGTATGTCTTCATTTGCCACTTTCCACTTTATTATTTTTTAAAATTTTTACTTATTTTAATTTTATGTGTATGATTATTTCTGTCTCATATGTGCCCCACACGCACGCCTGGTGCTCTCAGAGTCTCTGAAGAGGGCATTGGAACCCCCAGACTTGTGAGCCAAGAACCAAATTCGGGTCCTCTGTAAGAGCAGTAACGCGGCTGGGCAGTAGTAGCACACCTCTTTAATCCCAGCCCTCGGAAGGCAGAGGCGGGTGGGTCTCTGTGAGTTTGAGGTCAGCCTGGTCTATAGAGTGAATTCCAGGACAGCCAGGGCTACACAGAGAAACCCTGTCTCAAAAAGTTAAAATTAAATAAATAACAAAGAAAAGAAAAAGGAGCATTAATTGCTTTTAAGCCGTTAGTCTACACTGGCTACTTAGAGAGCACGGGGTGTCAGCTTGTCTCAGCACTGAGTTTCAAAGGTGCGCTATTCCTAGCCTTTTACATTGGTGCTGGAATCCAAAGTCTTGTGCTTACAGGGCAAATACATTATCGGTTGAAGCCTTCACCCCAGTCACTGAGTATTTTCTGTCTTTAATTTGTTTAGAGATTATGCAGGACAAAATTATTTAGGGGTAAGTAATGCTTCTGCCTGAACTAGATGTACACCCTCCCCTCAGCCCTGTTAAGTCTGGAGATCTTTCTAAAGCCTAGTAGGGTCCGAGAGGTAGCTCGGTACAAAGAGGGTAGCAATTTTCCTGCTAGGTGTGATTTTGTGGCGCCACCTGCTGGCAATCTGGAGATATACATATATTTAAACCGAGTTTCGCATGATTGTATGCATAAAGAAACCAAATATTGGGGCTGGAGGGATGGTTCAGAGGTTAAGATCACTGGTTATTCTTGCAAAGGACCTGGGCTTGGTCCCCAGCACCAACACGGCAGCTCGAAGATGTTTGTAATTTCAGTTCTAGGAGGGATCCAAGACTCTACTAACTCCATGGAACTGTATTTGAGTGTCTATACACACAGGCAAAGCATAGACATAGAATAAAAACAAATATTTATTTTTGCTTTCTTTTTAAAAAAAACAGGGTTTATTTTGTAGCTCTGGCTATCCTGGCACTCACTCTGCAGACCAGGCTGTCCCTAAACTCGGAGAGATCCGCCAGCCTCTGCCTTCTGAGTGCCACCCAGCCAAACCAAATAAGTCTTAAAAAAAGAAGCCAATTATTAAAACCTATAGAGCTTGGAAGTACCACCATGACAGAGTGCTTGCCTAGCATGCCTGAGGCTTTGAGTTCAACCATCAGTGCCACCAAAGACGCAAGCAAACAAACAATAAAGCATTAACTACGCACAATGAAACACATACATGCTCATCACAGACACATACATATGAACTCAGATACACAGTGTAGAAATTTAACATCTAACATCACCCACCCTTATGACTCCAATAATTTCTTGTAGTCTAACAACATAAAGCTTGTTTCTTTATAAAGACCTCCTCCCCTGTCCCAGGCCTATTTTGTACCCTAATTTCTAGCCTAAGAACACACTCCAGAACTCACTTGGTAGACCAGGCTGGCCTTGAACTCAGAGATCTGCCTGCCTCTGCCTCCCTGGTGCTGGGATTAAAGATGTGTGCCCCCACTGCAGGGCACACCTGCTGATTCTTTAAGACTATGCTCTCAGGCTGGGGCTGTAGCTGAGTTGGGAGAGTGCCTGGCTTGTGTGCACAAACCCCTGTGTATGACCCCTGGAGTCACATAAAGGAGGTATAGAGGCACATGCCTGTGATTCCAGTATTCAAAAGTAGAGGCGGAAGGAGCACAGATTCAAAGTTGGGCCAGTGAGATGACTCAGTGGGTGAAGGCACCTGACAACCTGAATTAGAGTCCCAGAACCTGCATGGCAGAGGGAGAGGCTTCACTCTCTCTGACCTCCACAGCTGAAGTGTGACAAAGCCCCCTCCACCTATATATACACATGCGCAATTCTCTGTCACTGTCTCTGTCTCTCTGTCTCTCTGTCTCTGTCTCTCTCTCTCTCTCACACACACACACACACACGACCAAAAGCTTAAAAAAAACTATAAAAATAACCCAAGGTCCAGTGCTACCATCTTGGGGAAGCCATTATGACCACTTCTGCTTCTGAACTTTATAACTTTATGGCATTTTATTGACTCTCATCTTTCCTGTTTGAGAACTCATATTTTCTTCTTTTATAGTCCGACAGGTTCCTAGGGGTAGGCCTTGTCTTTGACTCACGTTTCTGCTGTCTGGTGGTACCCGTCACAAAATGATGTCTGGTGGTCATCGTGCACAAAAGCAGGGACTCAGCAAGTGCTTGCTGATAGAGGATGACCATGGGCGTGGCAGAGGGTGAAGACAGCATACAGGAGCCCGTGTCTTCTCACACAGCTTCTCTAGCCCGGCAAACAGACACGTGTTTTATATACAAACACCGGGACACATCTCTGCACCCACAGGTCTGTGGAGCTATTTTCCCTAAGCCAGTGGTTCTCAACCTTCCTAACATTGGAGTCTTTTAATACAGTTCCTCATGTTGTGGTAACCCCCAACTATAAAATTATTTTATTGCTACTCCTTAACTGTAATTTTGCTACTGTTATGAACCATACTGTAAATGTCTGTACTGTCTGATGTCCTTAGATGTTGCCTGTGGAAATGGTCGCTCAACCCCCAAAGGCGTCACAACCCACAGGTTGAGAACACTGCCCTAAACCAAGACCTTTTCTGATCCTTTTGTCTAGTTTTTCCATTTCTACTTGTCCTGTTAATCCCATGCTGAATTTTATCATTGCTTCTTAATTTTTAGTGCATGCCAGTGTACATACGAAGGTTCATTCATTTGGCCTTTATGGTGGAAGGAGACACAGTTTTGGTTTTTTTTTTTTGTGAGCTAATAAATTTTACTGTGGTTAGTTAATATGGTTGAGGAGTTACTTGCAGGAATAGAAATGACTCAAGAAGAGCTGTATCACCGAAGTCCACCCCAGCATGGGTGACAGTTCATAAAAGCTGGGACACTAGAGCACACCGCATACCCTGCAGGCAACTCAGCAGGCAGGGGTGTCCTTTGGTTGGTCTAAACCTCTTCTAGGCAGTTCCGCTGGTTTCTGTTTCTTCCAGGCGGCTGGTCAAATCCCAAGAGTCTTCTTTGTAGCTTAGCTTCTTCTAGCCTTCTTTGAAGCTTGGATCTGTTAGTCTGAGCTGTACTCTCAGCTTTTATCCCCTCCTCGCAGCAGGGAGGGACCCCCTGGGCCTTGTCAGTTTCAGGATCTCCTGAAGCTATTTGGAGTAGTTTACCTTCCTGGTTAAAGACCTTCCCTTCTGGGTGGACTGTTTTAATCACAGAGGAAACGAGGCACAGTCTTAATAACGCTGGGCAAGAAGGCGAAGCTTCCCTTTGCTCCACAGGGAGATGCCGTCTTGGCCTTCCAAGGCTTTGTACTACGAAAGCATCTTTTGAAAGAGTAGGGCCCAAGGCAGGTAGTGCTTCGGCTCATAAGATGTGTAAAAATGGGACAAAGCTCCGGAAAATCCCATGTTTGCCTGGGGTTTTTGCCTGCAGGTGCTTTGCAGAACAGACACAGGACTCTGAGAGACCCCGGGGTCCTCATTTAGAGTCCGGAGGCACCTGGAGAGGAAGGGACTGCGCAGGCACTACAGCGTCGCACACGGTGTTTCCATCAGGGGGCTGGAGGTCAAGCAGATTCCACAGGGACGTGGGAGATCTTCCAGCTATAACTGGAAGAGTGGCGAGGAGGAAGGCACATGCACGGGCTCTGTGGTTTGCGAGTCTTAGTCATAAAAGTCTTGGTCTGCGATGCTGTCCTGAATAATCCCAGGCCTGGTGGCCTATAAACGACAGGAACGTATTATAGAGGCTGCGCATGTCAGGCCAGTGCCAGCACGAGTGGGCCCTGGGAAGAGCCTCTTCCAGGTCTTTCATCTGGTAGAAGAGATCTAGGAGCTTGCTAGACAGACAGAACACTGTATACATAATAAATAAATAAATCTTAAAAAAAAAAGAAAAATAGAGGGGCTGGAGAGATGGCTCAGTGGTTAAGAGCATTGCCTGCTCTTCCAGAGGTCCTGAGTTCAATTCCCAGCAACCACATGGTGGCTCACAACCACCTGTAATGGGGTCTGTGGTGCCCTCTTCTGGCCTGCAAGCATACATGCAGACAGAATGCTGTATACATAATCAATCAATCAATCAATCAATCAATCAATCAATCTACCACATGGTGGCTCACAGCCATCTAATAATGAGATCTGGTGCCCTCCCAGAAGGTCTCTTATCACTATGTAGCCCAGGCTGGTACTGAACTCATGTTTCTGCCTCAGCCTTCAGAAGACTGTGATTAGTCTGGCTTAAGGTACAACATTTATTTTCTAGAACTAAGGACTATAATATGTAAAGTGAAACAGTCATCATTTGGGCTTCCAGAACGTTGATTAGATATTGCAGAAGATGATGTCTGTGAACATGCATACACAACAACATCCCAAACCGCAAACCAAAAAAACTCTCCTAAATCTATTTAGACCAAAGCTTTCAGCACAGCAATCTACAGGGTAATTTCTTCAACCTAACGAATATGTAGTTAGAGTTCCAGATGGAAAACCAAAAGTGAGGGTGGAAAAAACACACTGGAAAATAATAAAATCTGAAAACAACATCTTGAATTTTGGAGGAAAATGGATGGAGCTAGAAAACATTATTTTGAGTGAGGTAACCCAGACACAGAAAGACAATTATCACATGTACTCACTCATAGTGGTTTTTAAACATACAGCAAAGAAAACCAGCCTACAAATGACAACCCTAAAGAACTTAGACAACAATGAGGTCACTAAGAGAGACTTCCATAGATCTAATCCACATGGGAAGTAGAAAATGACAAGATCTCCTTAGTAAATTGGGAGCATGGGGACCATGGGAGAGGACTGAAGGGGAGGGGACTGGCAGGGAAGGGAGCAGAGAAAAATGTAGAGCTCAATAAAGATCAATAAACATATTCAAATATGATGGAAGTTACATATTCAGTTATAATGGAGTTGTATAAACACAAAGAAAACCACACAAGCACTTTATAAACCTAATGATGAAAAGAAAAACAGTAGATGATGGGAGCTGGAGAGATGGCTCAGTGGTTAAGAGCATTGCCTGCTCTTCCAAAGGTCCTGAGTTCAATTCCCAGCAACCACATAGTGGCTCACAACCATCTGTAAAGAGGTCTGGTGCCCTCTTCTGGTCTTCAGGCATACACACAGACAGAATATTGTATACATAATAAATAAATAAATATTTAAAAAAAAAGAAAAACAGTAGATGAAGGAATGAATACCACCTCCTCTTCAGGAATTCGCAAGGCCCTTTCTGCTTGCTGCCCCTGAGAGGTAGCAGCTGTGTTCTGCATGCGCCTCAGTCCTCACTCAGGCACGCAGCAATGAAGCCAGAGAGCCACAGCTCAAAAACTCTGAAACCACCAAGAAAATGGGTTACAGGAAATGAGCCTCCAGATTTCCAAAGGAATCAGGTTGGCTGGGCGGTGGCGCTGCATACCTTTAATCCCAGCACTTGGGAGCAGAGGCAGGCAGATCTCTGTGAATCTGAGACCAGCCTGGTCTACAGAGTGAGTTTCAGGATAACCAGGGCCACACAGAGAAACCCTATATTGGAAACTAAAAACAAACAAACCAAAAAATCAAGTTGTGTTTCTTTCCATATCCAAATGCAGAGGAAGATATCAAACCTTGGGCAGTAGGCTGTGGGAGAGCCTCCATGTATGCATATGCCTGTGTCTCAATGAAGATGACTGACCAGGTCCTCCAGGAACTGTCTGGACAGAGAGGGAATGCCTCACTTGCTGAACAGGGTGGAGTCGCGTTGGGGAGCAACCCAGCAGGCTATTCCTGTTTGAATGAATCCAGGTGAGACTTTTACAGTTTATAGCCAACACTTCAGCATGTTGAAAGATACGGAGGCGGTCCCATGATGTCACACGTGGATCCATTCCTCACATCCGTGTGCCTTCCAGTTATAGGTTCCAGATAGCGAAGACAGTAGAAGAATCCATGGGCAGTGGTCACACCCCGGTCTCCCAAGTGTCCCTCAAGCTACTCCTCAGCCACATTTTTATTCCAACACTTAGCCCTACTTGACTCAAGACGCCAATAAAATCTTTTTATTAGTTGAGATTTTGTATCATGGTTTTTGATCATATTTACCCCTTCACCAGATTTATCTAAGACCCAGCCCACTTTCCAACCTCCCAACTTTCTATCTTCCTTTTTAAAAACCCATCAAGTCTAGTCAGGGCTTCCCATACTCTTGGGCGTGTGGCCCTTCGCTGGAGGCAGTCAACCTCCCATGGATCACACCCTTAAAGAAAACGGACCTCCTCTTCTAGGAGCTATCAGTTGCCAGTAGCTCCTCGCCCAGGGGTGCGACTTTGTGCCAGCTTTCCCTCGCCACGCTGAGGTTCAGTACGGCTTGGGCTCGGCCAGGTCTTGGGCACGTTGTCACAAACGCTGTCACCACCCACCTTTTATCCATACGTACAACTCACACATGGTTGTCTCCCCGGAGATACACTACTTCAGTTTTGACCTGTGTGCATCACCCCGCATTACGGGGCGAGCAAGAAATGATGCCACTGCATGGACCGTCAAGCTGTACTCTCCAAGGAGCAGTGCGGGAAGTCTTCACATGAGAACCTAGAAGGCTACCAGACTGACCGCCAGAGCTGCGGCAGCTGCTCTCCTCCCATCTACAGAAACAACTGGACGCCAGCGCACAGAGGCCATGGGGGGGTCACCACAAGGAAGTGGGGAGTGGGGAATACGTGTCAGTAGAGGTGGCTCTCCCCCAAGAAAACACTGAGCAGGAGGCTGTCCAAGGTCGGATGATTTACACTTACATTCCGCTCACCATAAAAGGTGAATTATTGAGACGGGAAGGGCCTGAAGGATCTGTTTCACAGAAGAATATTATTTGATGGTGGTTTATTATTTTTTTTTTCTAGCAACACTTGGGCAGGCAAACCTCTCTGGCCTATTTCTTAATAAGGAAAGGCTATTATATTTCCTAAGATTTTGTTAATACTTCATGGCGGAGTGGCTGGAGAGATGGCTCCGTGGTTAAGAGCATTGCCTGCTCTTCCAGAGGTCCTGAGTTCAATTCCCAGCAACCACATGGTGGCTCACAACCATCTGTAATGAGGTCTGGTGCCCTCTTCTGGCCTGCAGACATACACACAGACAGAATATTGTATGCATAATAAATAAATAAATATTAAAAAAAATACTTCATGGCGGAAAGTTTTGTCACAAGTGCATGTGACTTTCTACCTAATCTCGGTAAGAAGTGTCTAGAAGTGTTTTTTACAAACAAGGCTTCCACGTTTTCATTCTAAATAGACAGATAAGAAAGCTAAAGCAGAACAGATTTTATTAACGAGTTTAGGCTAGCTTAAATCTCCAAATAGTTGTGACAAATGAAATGAGATGCGATCAAGCCATGTTGTCCTGCAACAGTCATTGTATAGCAGGAATGCATTTGCGTTGTTTCAGTTATTAGGTAGGTGCTGTTTAACACCACCGTCGGCTTCCTGAGTGAGCTGCTCATAGACTAAGACAGATGGAAGAGTCAGGCTCACCACACACACACACACACACACACAAACACACACACACATACATACACACACACACACAGCAGAAACTGGTGCCACATGCCTGCAATCCCAGCGCTTGGGAAATGGAAGAAAAGGCACACACACAGAAACATCTCAGGCTACAGATAGCGTGTTCTGGGCCAGCCTGGGTTACATGGAACCTTGTTTCAAATGAAAGGAATAACAACGGCAGCAATGAAAACCAAAACTCAACTCCCAAACCACCAAAACCAAACAGAGAAGAGCATGGCAGCTTCAGTGCTGCTAGGCAAGCTCTCTACCACTGAGCCCAGCATGTAGGCTTCACTACCGTTTTCTAGAAGCAATCTATTCTGATGTCACAGGAGGAGAAAATCCGGCCTTTTATACAAGTCTATAGAAACCTGACTTAATCAAAACAAAAAAGAGCAATGTTTTGATAGAGTACGTGCTCTTACAGGTGCCTGGGGAACAAAGCGCTCAGTGTCAAAGAGCAGGTAAAGCTGACTCCCCAGCTCATCCCAGTAGGAGCCCGGACTGTGTGAGAGAAGGAGTTTGTGGATGGAAAAGACAGAAGCTGTTTGTGTTTGTGGGTCTGGGGGAAATGAGCCTCCAACACAGCAGTGAAGACATGGTAGAACCAGAATGTGGCAGCAACAGCTCCCCCCATGTTATTTATCACAAGTGAAGTGTAGCCGGAGGGAGAGGAGGAATCAGTGAATTGTGACTATTAGGATTTCTAAAAGTTGGCTTTTGTTTCTAAATTGTATTGTATTCATCATATATTATCTCACAATTACTAAACAAAACATACACAGGTATCACATGAAAAACACCCAAGGTTCAAAGGTCTGCTTATTTGTTTGTTTGGATGTGTGCTTGTGTCTTTGTGTGCGTGTGTGATGACAACTTACCAGAATTGGTTCTTTCCTTTGCCACGTGGATCCCAGAAATTGAACTCAGGCTGTGAGACTTGGTGGCAAGCACCTTTACCCACTGAGCCATCCCGCTCACCCAAGCATTGCTCTTCTGGACACAAGAATTCACTGCATTGCCCAGGCTGTCTTGAGCTTCTGGTGGGCTCAAGCGTTTTTTCTGTCTGGTGCTCTGAGCTCACGTGCTATGACTTTAGTTACTGAGCTATACTTCCAGGCTGGTAGAAAGGAAGGGCACACCAACCACACTACAACATAGTCCTGCTTGAACACTGCAAATGCTTTAACTGAAAGAACATGGGTGACTAAAGAATCTGACCAATATCTTATTCACAAATGCTCAAATCCAAATGCGGAACACAGACAGTCACACATGCGCAGAAAGGGATCGGGGCACATACACATGTACCTGCATGCACAAGAAGGTGCACATGTGCACATGCATGTAAAAAATGAATCAAATCCATTAGAATAATGGAATAGTCAAAGCAATCCTCAGCAGAAAGAGCAATGCCTCATGCCAAGGTACACTACAGAGCCATAGTACCGAAGTATGCACAGTACTGTCATGAAAACAGAACATAGCCCTGTGGGAGAGACTTGAGGACTCCGAAGTGAACCTTAGGTTGTTTATATCCTTTGGGTTTAACTAGGCAGTTGGACATATATGCATAGAAATTCTTCCCTTTCTATTATTATTTTAATTTATCATTATCATCATCATGATTATTTGTTTTTTGAGACACGGTCTCTCTATGTAACTCAGCTGTTTTGGAACTCACTGTGTGGGTTGGCTTTCCTTTCACAGAAATCCACCTGGCTCTGCCTCCCTATTCCAAAACATTGTTTATAAATGTTCTTTTATATTTAAAGAGGGATATGATATAGGTATGAATAATTTGCATTGGTATAAATCTTGGTTTATTGATATAAATTCAAGGTCAATCTTGTTATATGTATACATATTTCTGCTCTTAAGGTATTGTGATTGTGTAGTCCATTTAAAAATGTAATGTATAAAAAATGTAGTGTATAATTAGGAAATATAGGTTGTTAATGGATAATCACCAATAATAGTCAAGCTTGTAGTCATGTTAGTTAGATTTTCTAGATATATAGAGATATATTTCAGTTAGATAGGCATTCTTCATATCTTTTAAAGACTACAGAATATGGCATTTAAAATGTTTTAATAACTGAGGACTTTTCATGACAATGAGACACTCTGCTCCTAGCAGCACCAATCTACTTCAAGAGGAAGATGGGCATCAAAGAGGCTCTTTATGGAGTTTGCTAGCCATTTGGGCAAGAAACTGCTCTTGCCTGGACTGCTTCACTGGACATGCAGTACCCACAGAGAGAGGACTGCTGAACTTGCCTAAAGGTGAGATGATCCTTCGGGGTTCCTGCTTCATGAAAGTGTCTGCAAAACATTCTGCAGGATACAGAAAAAAGTGACTGAACTGTCTTTGAAATTTCCTGCTTTATGGAAATGTCTGCTGGATACTATGGGCCTGTAGGCTGCCGATGGATGCCCCAATGGTACAGAGGAACTTTGGGTGACTGTACAGGCAGCAAGATGTCTCTGTCAATTCTAGAGTTTTGGAAGTTGCTTACAATGTACTTTCTGTTTACTTCAGAAATATTATATCCTTCTGGAGTCTTTAATGGAGTTGAAGAATAGATAGATAGTTATAATTTTCCTTAGTTATGATAAAAGATAAAGTAGATACAAATATTGTAACTATAGTTCTTATTTGATACCTGTTTTGTTATATGTAATTTTACTATGTTAAAGTTAAAGCCTTTCTTTTTTGTTTAAATGGAAAAGGGGTAGGACGTACTTCTGTATTTGTGTTGTTTTCATTGGTTAATCAATAAAGAAACTGCTTGGCCCAATAGGGCAGAACTTAGGCAGAGAAGACAGAACTGTATTCTGGGAGGAAAAAAGCAGCAGATAGAGCCCAGCCACCATGAAGCTGCCAGGTCAGACATGCTAAATCTATCCTAGTAAGCCATGACCTCATGGTGAACACAGGTTAATAGAAATGGGTTAGATCAGGATGTGAGAGTTGGCTAAGAGGCTAGATACAATGGACCAGGCAGTAATTTAATTAATACAATTTCTGTGTGATTATTTCAGGGGTTAAGCTAGCTGGGCGCCAGGACACATTAGTATTAAATTTATGTATTGTCATGCCTTTTAGATGTTGCCAATTTATTGGAATCTAGGTTTTCAAAGTATCTATTGACAGTTCTCCTAATTTTATTGGTATCTGTTGTAATGTCTTCCTTTTAAATGTCTAATCTTATTTGTTTATTAAAATCTTTTTAAATTTACTTATTTTGTGTTATAATTTTTTTAATTTTTTGCTCACATGTATTATCTGTACACCACATATGCCTGGTGCCCAGGAGTCAGGCATCATATCTCTGGAACTTGAATGAGCCATCACGTGTGTGCTCGGAATTAAACCCAGTGGTTAAGAGCAATACGTGCTCTTAACCACTGAGCCATCTCTTCAGTCCTCTCTCTAATTTTATCAACTTAAGTCTTCTTTCTTTTCTTTTAGAAGATTTGACTAAGAGTTTGATAATAT